ATAGGCTTTTAATTAAAATGTTCAAACCACAATTTAAACTAAAAATATCCTATTACTTATCTTCACTATTTCACGGGCACTAAGGCAGCGGGTGATAATGTAACTAATGATCTGATTGTCACCAGTTTGTATAATGAAGCATGTCTGGGGGCTGATCGGATTACACCATCAATCAAACCCCTTTTGCAGTGCTCCCTCCTTCAGCAGAGCTCCCTGCAGGGCAGTGTATGCCTTTTCCAGCTCCCTCCCAGCTGTAACCTTTATTGTCTCTCCCCAAAGTGATGAGCTGCCATAAGGGGGGGCAAAAGTTGGGCTGCAAGCAGCTGAAGTTTGATGATCTTCTGTGTGTGGTTATAATACTTCACAGATGATTTTGCTGGGAGGTGGCCATTTTATGGCTTTAACCTGACAGTAAATCCTATTTATCAAAATGGCTAATGATCAAAGAAGAGCCTAGAAACTGGGTCCTGCCACCCTGGCTCTGACATAAAGAGGACAACAACATGTTGTCTGGATTAACAGGAGGGTGAGTGCCATCAACATGCCATGGCATACCTGAGCTTCCAAAGGAGAAAGCTCAGTTTGAAAATCCCATGGCAGCTTTCAGGTGTCTCAGCTGAATGCAGATTTGGGTGGTTGTGCTCAAGACATTGATGGCCACCACAGCACCTGAATGGGGCTTTCCAGGACAAGAGTGAGCTGTGTCAGACTCAAAAGCCTGTCTCACAGCTAGGATTTGTTTGCAGTAGAACAGAGGGTCTTCACCAGCCCATCCTGTCCTGCTGCATGATTGCCCAACAGCTCTGGACTTGCCCCAGGGACCAGCATTACTTTCAAGCCACCTTAAAACACTGGGTTCAAAGGCATCAACATAAGATCAGCTTCTTGAACAGCTCAAGTGTCTGTGCATTGGGAGAAGACAGATCACCTCAAAGTTCGTGTCATCAATCTCTCTGATCAAAGCTCCCTCCCTCCCTGTTGCTGGATTGCCCCCAATTAACTGACAATAAATTAGGCATCATCTCGTTTAAACATTATGAGATCAAAAATAGCATAAGGTTAGAAAATACATTGGTACATTAAGTCCTGTTGTCCAAACTGCCTGTGGAAAGGTATGCTGGCTGCCTCCTGTGAACAGCCACGTCTAAGCAGACAGCTGGGTGTTTCCTCCCTGTCCCCCCCAGCCCATGTATGTATGGTTAGAAATGCAGAAACAAACTTTAAAGAAAGTCTTAAAGCAATTTCAGAGTCCTGCAAAAATAATTTGATAAATTAATGACAGTGACTATAATTACAGAGCATGTAATGAGTTCTTGCTCCAATTACTGCAACACCTTCAAGATCTCAGCCAAACTGATTTCTCTGATAAGCCTACTCTACAACATAGGCATCATCAATACCAGCCACCAAAAAAAGAATGGCAATTAATACGTCAAAGAAAACCAGGAAAATCCAGCTTCTGATTGGGCCCACACTGAAACACTGTGACCAGTCTTGGGGCCGGGAGCTGGCTCCTGCCATACCTCAAGGTAGAGCTCAGTCCTGGGAGCTGGGGTAGTGGGGCACTGACCCAGCACTGGGCCAGGGTATGGACTGGCCCTCACCCCAACACAGACTGACTGCAGTGGGGCTCTGAAATACCTTCATCTGGCACCTGGGACCACCTCAAAGCTCAATACAACCCATTTGGTCTGGGAGGGGGTTTTGGCATCTCCTCGGTGACAGTAAGGGACTACCTGCATTCCCATGTTTTACTGTAGGGGAGATAGGCCTTTTTGATACTAAATTCTATTCAGTTCCCACTCAAGGAGGGGTTTTCAGTCAGAAAACTCTCTTACAACAACCTTTAGTGTTACAATTCACTCTCTCAGCAGCAGAGAGAGTGGTTTGTCTCAACCAGGACTTAACAATGGCTTCCTTCTGCCTTCCTCCAGGCAGACGCTTTCACAGGTACACAGACCAGTAAATCAGTTTTCTGGTCTATTAGTACCTACAGGTTGCATTCCTGGGGGAGCTGCCAAACTGCTCATGAGAGCACCTCGAAGCATTAGTTAACCTATCAGGTGCTCCACAAACTGAGCCGGTTTCAAGTCCATAACTCAGGAAATTCAGACCTGTGACACCAACAAAAGAAGGAGAAAAGCAGCAGCTGCCACCAAGGGGGAGTAACTCACACAAAGTAGGAAAAGAAATATGCACATACCAAAATGTAATTAAGTATCATTGTTCATAGCATACGCTTTCCCTTGCCACTTGGAAATTTTCCAAGTATGCTGAACCCCTTAATTTACAAAACAATCGACCCAGCATGGTTAGCACATCCTGCAGACTTGCTTAATTTACATAACGTAGGGCATCTACTGCAGATTGAGCTGTTGTAAGCTGTACTCATTCAAGATGCTGCAGTTTTATTTGCAGTATTATTGTTTAAGGCTTCATTTTCATCCACATGTGGAGTTGTATTTTGTTTGTGGAATAAAAGTCAACACAACATTTTCTACCACTACTATTGTTAGCAGTGCTATAATCATGATAATTTGAAACTGAAACCTGACTTCGAGCAGTTCACAAAAGGCCACTCTCAGAAATCTCACAGAAAGCTGGCATCTGTGCAGCCCTTTACATGTATTTACACAGGGCACGGAATGTTTTTAATTGAGTTAAAAGTCCACCACAGTCCATTCAGTCACAATGCTGGAGAAAAGTGATGTCTACCATATACAGTGCACTAGCTAATTATGAAAGTGAATTTCCCAGTGTCTTTGGAAAGAGGTAGCCTCCAAACAGGCTCTAAGATTTATCACAGGGAACTGTCAGTAAACAAAACTTTCTTGGGTGACCCCACTTCCCTGTGCGCTTGTGAAGACTCCTGTTACACCGATTAAAATCCTTCACCTTTGACTTTTCCTCAGACCAACTTGACATGGAAGTCAACACTGCCTGGTTGTGTTGGGCTACGCTGACTTGCAGTATTTCATGCCACAGGAATTTCTGACTGCCCTAACTACTGCTCAGTCTGACCACACATCCATTCGTGCTTTCCAGCTGAAAAGTAGGAATTAAAAACGCATTTCCTTTCTGCTCACCAGTCCTCTTCCTGGTACCAGACCCACTGCTGGGTATGTTTCACCATGCAATTTTATTTTTTTGCCCCGTGTGACTGGCTTTGGGGCAATATGTTCCAAAGTTGATCAATCTTTCAGCAACTTTGAAACTAGCTATCGTAACACTTCTGCCTACTACTTTGTGCTAATACAGTCTTTTAAACAGACCTACCTGTGATCTCTCCAATCAGCATCCAAGAAAACAGGAAGTGAACTACGTATGCCAGCAGAACTACAGACCATTGAAGGGAAGCTGGAGTGGATGTTGGGAAGATATTTCATGATTCCATTCTTGCCTCCAGCTTTGGTCATTTCTGTCACATGCCAGATATTGAACAAATGAGAACCATGAAAAATTTACTTTTGTAACAAAATTTATTTCTGCTCTGCGGATACAAATCCCAAACATCAACAAACAAATTCCAGTGGAAAAATACCAGTCATTAACAATGAAAACTTTTATTATTATTCAATAAATAGAACTTTGGCATTCAAAATTCTAGCTGTAAACCCTACTTTAAAAAAAATTACAAAAAGAGGCAAGAACAACAAGCCTAAAGCTGAGCCAGCCAGTGGCTCCTTTACTTTTTACAATGAACACATTGTGATTAAGTCATGACAACTCTATTTACATATGAGGTATTCTGAGCGGTTCAAAAATTGAACCCAATTTACAAAACTACCAGTCTTCAGGGACTGATCCAGTACATATGTCAGCTGTGCTTTTAGAAGAGAGCTCCAGACACTCCTCCCCACTGAACTAATGATATACTTAATTAATATACACAAACACATTATTTGTGTTTCCTGCTCACGCATCATATTCAAAAAAGCTGCATACTACAACCAGCCTAACATTCAAAGTGTACACCTAGTACCTAGTTTAAGTACTTCTGTTTCTAGACATTATGCAAGAGTTCTTACTACAAAAGCTTATTAACAAAGTAATGGCAGGTGAGAAGAAAAGAAGGTGCAGTCATCAGCATCCTAAAAACTTATTTAAAGTTCAAGGGGAATATACACTTACTTCAGGCAAAAAAGGCACAAAGGTATGCAGCTGTGGAATTAATATTGCTAATTAGCTACTGGAATAAATCATCCCTTTAGATAATAACCATTGATCTGTTTGCAGTCTAAGAATGAAGATTGGTTCAGAAGATCTTTTTCCCACTCATGACAGAACTCGTCACATCAGTGAGAAGAGCACAATTATACTTCCAACTCCACCTGCATTATAGCACTGAGAAGGAGAACTGGAGCAAATTGTGCCCTTGCAGAGAGACTGCAGTGTGCCATCACTGCCCACACTATGACACCAGGTTGTGGAGGACAGGGTTTGCTTTCTTCCTTTCCTTGTGCTCTTACCCTGCAAGAAAAATGTCCAAAAGAACATTTGAAAGAAAAGGTGGGCTGCGAGGGCAAAGGAAGGAAGGAAACCTTTTGAAGTGAAAAGGATGGAATTTCAGCTCTTGTAATGACTTCTTGACCACCAGCAGCTTCAAATGCTGGAGCCTGAGTGGGTGGTTACAGCAATCTCCACAATTTCACACAACTATCACACCATAAAGCTGCACAGCAGAGGCCAGCAACCTAAATCACATTTACAAGACTGAGCTGCGTTACTTCTATATAGTAAATACATAGCATCCTCTACAGCTTGTCCGAAGACACTTACTTGCCGTGTCTTTTTCAAAGTACATTCTTAAATACAGTAGTTACTGTAAATATCTTCTGGAGGATCATATAAATTCAATCTGAAACTATACAAAATGTTACTGTACAAATTTGCTGACACCTAGAATGGTACAGTATCCATTCACCTGCAGTTGTTTTTCAGCCCTTGGGATTGTCTAACAGCTACAGCAAAAAGTTGTCATGACTAAATCTAAGCAATTCCAATGTTAACATTCTTTAATCAACTCCGTATTAAATAAGTTGAATGACACCACACACACACTACATTTTAACCAATTAAACAGTCATGCATATCTTAGACAAAGCTTATTCCATTTAGAGGCATCTGTAAACTGATGCATATATAGTAATTGCTACCACTACAACAGGCCAAATTTTAAGGAATCAAAGCAAAATACTGCATCACTGTAGACAGTCAGTTGGTAGTCTGCATCTTTGGCTCATAAATCCATCATTTACCTCCCTACTTTAATTTGACTGAGGCAGATAAACTCACGGGGTTTCAAAATCAAGTGCTTTAAAGTCAACATAAATATTACAGGTTCTGTAAGAAAAACATCACAATGCAAGATTACAGCACTGCAATCAAAGTATTACAAATAAATTGGGACCTCCTTCCAGAGAAACTTTCAACTAATACTCGAAGACCATAAAAAGTGAAGTGCTCTGCAAACATAAATTACTGATCTCAGCTTTCAGTACAGTATCACCCTTTAACAGGAGGGGCACTGGAGGCACACCAGCCAAGTGACAAGCTTAACAGTTCAAAAAAAAGATCTCCTGCTCCTCTCTAATTGCTCTATTAACCTCCTTGTTATTTTCATCAAATTTAGAAAAAGTGTTGCTTGGTAAATTTTTATAGGTACAACATTGCCATTTAAGGAAACAAACAACAATGTGTAACTTAGGTATTTCCTCTCTCCCTAATGCTTCTCATTTATTATCTGAAATGCTATTGTTGAATTCTGGTAGGAGACAAATGCCATAAACTGAAGACTACTACTTCACTGCAGGACCAAAACCAGCAAACTACACCAAAGGAAGGAGCTGAGTCTTTAGTTACAAAAGCCAATACTGTCAGAGGCACAGAAAACCATGCCAGCCCATTTGTACAAAGTTCCTTGTCTTCAGTTTTGCACTAGTAAAAAAAGTACACCTTCAATGTGGAAGATGTGTATTAATGTGGAATTAATACTGCTAATGAGCTTCCACAATAAATCACCCCTTTAGATAATTACCATTGATCTGTTTGCAGTCTAAGAATGCAGATTAGTTCAGAAGACCTTTTCCCCAATCATGACAAACTTGTTACATCAATGAGAAGAGCACACTCATATTTCCAACTCCACCCCATCACAGTATTGAGAAGGACAAGGAAAACCAGAGAAAATTGCACCCTTGTGGAGAGATTGCAGCGTGCATACAGAAAGAGCATAGAAATTTAAAATAAAATGGCCTCATTTCTTTTCCTTTAAGTAGACACTAAACAATTTCACTTGCGATTTCCTCTAGACACTGTTTCAGTGCTCACAGAAGCTGAACCAGATTAATCTATCTGGAAACACCATGTAGCAGTAATATAAATAGCAATGTTATTTTTCGCAAATTAGTCCAAGTGTAGTTTCAGGATAGAGAAAACTGTGAAATAAATAAATGCATATAGTTAAAAAAATAAACCACTAAATTATAAAAACAACATTAATGGTAACTGTTTAACAATCGACAGAAAGCAAAATATCACCAAGTTAAAACTGGTAACCAGCATATGTTGCTTTACCACTTTTTTCTATTAACACAAATATAATCAGAAAACAGAAGATACTAACACTTTTGCCATAAAAATGTTACCCTAGAATTTTCTTGGTTCTAATTGCTAAGCCTTCTAAGAGATTTCTGCTGGTATCCCCACTACGGGTAAGTTGACTGACTTGCATTTTAAAGCATCTGAAACCTTCTTTTAGTCCCACACACGTAAGTGATGCACGTATTTTTCTTAACAGTGTGTTTTGGAAGTGGTTTTGCTCTTCACAGGTTTTTGTTTTCTTCAGTTAAATACTATTTTCCAGCATGCATAACTGTGCAGCTACCTTGCAGTAATGTTCCAGGAAATGTCATCTGTCCCATGGGAGTTAAACAGCACTGCCAAGTGATACTCATTGAATAAGCTATGGAACACAATCTTATTTTTTTAGGTAATTGCTTCCTACAAAAATGGAGAGATCAAAAATTCCAAAACAATGTGGCAAACGTTGCAGTTCTCAGATAACCAAATACTTAATACTTCTAACTGGAAAACTTCTGGTTCGAGCCCTGATTTTGCCAAGAGTTAAAAACCCTTTCTATAGCTGTGGTAAAAAATGGTTGAGGTGGTGCACAACCTCATCAGAGGCCTTCAGCAACAGAACACAGACCAGCCACATTTTAAAATGGAGAGGACCTAAGGAAAAAGTTAATACAAACACCAAAGTACAGTTGTTGGTTGCTTTGTTTGTTTGTTTGTTTTCCTGCAGCCATGTACTATGCTGCAGTTTCATGTCTTATAGCTTCGCTGGGCTTGTCACAGAATTCATATTACTGAAACTTCTTACAGCAATGTGAGAGCACTTCAAACAACCTGATATAGCTATATTTTATGGACTTGTTTGCATAAAGGAGTTAAACTTGGGGGGGTATCTGCTATTGGACAAACAATCCACTACTAAAACCATCTTTCCTATATTCCTATTTTTAGACAACTTGGATAGCAACTACTTTTTGTAGTGCTCCAAGATTGTTCCAACTGCAATTCTTAGAGTGACGTGCAGTGGCAGAAACCTCTGGCTTCACCACATACAGGTCCTTTGACCTTCTCCTCTAATATCAGAACACATATAATGCCACACAAACCCTTGATGAAGGAAAGGACTGAGAGCAGTAGCAGCACGGCTGTTTTGAAGCTCTGATTCCAAAAACTAGGTGAAGTAATGAAATGAGCCCTAATGAAGGAAACAGAGTGTCCAACTGAGTCATTCTTCACAGCTTGTTCCTACATTCAGTAGTTTGGAGAAAAGATTTCTTGCAGTTTGTACCACTCTGTTCAATGCTGACTCTCCCCTCCAGACCAGACTCCCAAGGTTAATTATACGCAGCCCTCGCAGGTGCATGTCTGGGGCTATTTGCAGCCTTCCAATATGGTTCCTTAGTAGAAATGAAAAGACCTGTGACACAGCAGGATTTAGTAAGTCTTTTTCTACTAGATGAAGTTTTGTCATTGAGTAATGCAATTGTCCCCCATGTCTTGAGCATAACGGTCTGACATTATAGTCCTCAATTCATCAATATCCTTCCGTAACTGACAAACGTCCAAGAGCTTCTTGGAAAGAGTTTCCGTGCTGTGGTAGTTTTCACTCTCTTCAGCTGAACAGCTCAGTGCTACGAAAAACAACATCCGAGGTTAAAGCTCTAGCAACTGTACTCTGTGAATACTTCAACTACTAATCCTCTTTGAAATAGGAGGTAGGTCACTTTAGTCACATCAAGACAAATCACCCTTCAGCATGATGAAAAGCCAAGAAAACATGGTACCATGTGAACTTAAAGTCAATTCAGAGCCCATCAGTGCTTCTCTGAAAGACATGCTTTTCTGTTGGTACCAAGATCTAGACTTGCTGAAGTCTGATGAATCAGAACAGTAGTGAAAAAACCTGGACAGAAGAGCCATTTCCTAGACGTTCTGGAGTTTTCTATAGCCACTCAGAAAAGAGGGCTAGAAGGCGTGTAGTAGCTCTTGTGGCACAGAACACTGTACTTTACCTTTTCACCCTGCTGATGGTTCAGTTCAGCAATCTGTCTACCTGATTAATTCCAATTAACATTCAGAAAACATTAGAATATGATACATCCATTTAAAAAAAATGTAACTGTTTGTTAGGCTTGTTAAAAGACCTAACACAAACTTTGTGTGACTGGTTTTAAAAGGGCATTTTTTCTCTCATTTCCTGGTTAAATTTAACAGCTTAGTAAGTGTTGAAGACTAGATGTACTGTTAACAGTACTAGAGATGAAGGTACCATGAGGTTTATTTAATACACCTGGACCCCCACCCCCAAATCAGACATACACATCTTCAAACAACAGATGTATATTCCTACCATTCGATCCTAAGGGCTTTAAAACAAAAAAACCACAATATGTGTTTTTGTTTTAAAGCCCCATTAGCATCCATTAACCCTCACAGTGAGTGCACTATTGTCTCAGGAGAGACAGACACCTGGCTACATATCTTTCTTTTCTAGAGCAGTGAACACAGCCATGATTGGGTCCACATGAAGAGCCAGCTACCTGCTTTCCTGACTTGGTAAGGACCTGTGTAGTCATATGCATTTAGTGGCACAGGCACACTAAGAGTTCAGCTTTTCCAGAGAGCTCCGTGAGTTCGTGCACCACTCTTCCAGCGGCACAGCGAGGACACCAGCTTGTCCAGCTGGCAAGTTTGAGCAACACTTAGCTAAACTGTTATTCCTTTGTGTCAAAACATTATTAAGCATTGGCATGACAACATCACTTACATCTGATTCCCAGCAGTAAGGAAAGGTTAGGTTCCTTGCCCTGAGCTCTCTGGGTAAGAATACTGCACAGTGCTTTCAAGTCAAACAAGCAGTGGGACATTTCCTTGAACAACTGGTCTGCTATAGGCATCTTCTCAGATACTGGCTGCCTGGACTGCTCCACCAGCCGCATCTGCTCCTTCAGGCAGGCATTCTCTTCCATCAGTCTTTGGTTCTTTGTGAAAACCAAATGGAAAAAAGGGGAAAGTTAAGTCTGCATCATGCACTATAGCAGAAAGTTTTCTGTTCCAAACCACAAGCAATATAAATAAAAATAATTAAATTCCAAACATATAATCAATATTTCTGTACCTCTCCAAAGAATGGCAGATAGACAGCTTCTATATGACTGTTTCATGTTACCATTTCTTAACCATCTTCACCCTTTAAGTTCTCCCTTCTTGAGGTAGGGATAGTATGTATTATACGTCTGCATGGTAGCCATGACAGTTAAGACGTAATTAAGGTCATAAAGCCCTACCAAGGGATCTTATAATCATTCTATAAGGTTCTTACCAGCTGGTGTGGTCAGGGGTGGGTTACTGGAGTTTTTACTTACTTCAGAGAGAGTTTTATTCAACTGCTCTATATTCCTTTCTTTTTCCTCAAGCTCATTTGTCATCTTCTGAATTATCAACTTTTCTTGTGAAAGCTTCTCTTGCATAGACTAAAGTGAATGAAAACACAGGTAAAGATTTTAAATTTTCATGCTTTATATCAGCACTTAGAAAAAGTTTCAATTACTTTGTGCTTTTGTACTAATTCTTCATTTTTTACTTTCTACCATGCTTCACCTGGTAATATTCAGCTGTACCCTAGCTCACTGTACACTAACACACTATTCCAAGTATCATGAAACCTTTTAAATAAGCAGAATCTCTTTAGAAACAAAAAGGCTGTATGCATGAAAAACCTTACCCCAATAAGGAATGCATGAAGTCCAAAATAACTATGCAATATTGTTTATTCTAATCAAACAATTTCACTTTACATAAGCAGTAGATACATCACAAGAAAGTTTCATTTGTGTCATTCCAAGGTATAACTGAAGATTTGTTTCATTCTCTACTTTAGACAAAGACTAAGGCAGGACTTTCCACAACCTTTCACAACAGAATTCACCTCACCTATACAGTTGAGAAGAAAGTCTTTGATAGCTGATACAGAGCAGCAACCTCTGTAAAAGCATTCAGACACATGATAGAACAGTCTATACAATTCTACTGTACTGAAAAAAACCACAGGTAAAAAACAAACTTATTTGAAGTTGCATCTGTAATAGATACAATAATTACTATTTTCAGTATTGCAGCTTTTCATGATTGACTTCCAGATCAATCACAAGCAGCAACAAACAAAAAACCTGCTGCAACATGGAATCAGTGGCTGTCAATTCCCCAGTTTTCAACTACGGAACTGAAACTGAGAAATCATGAGATATTTCAAAGTGGAGTTTTTGGAGTGAATTCAGCATGACCACAGGTGTTTGTTCTTAAAAGGACTCATATTTATTCCACTACTTGGCTTTTAAGTCTGTAGATATATCTTTCAAGGTCATCTGACAAAATTCAGAAAGAGGAATATTCAAATCATCTTATCTGAATACTAACAATGAATAGCAACTCTATCATACTCTGCAAAACTGGAAAACAATGGTGCTAACATTTACAGCCTTAATATGAACTAAAAACCCCCCTACTTTATTTTCACTTAAGTAGTAAGAAGCAGCAGGCAGAACCCAGAAACGACTACTTGTTTTTAATACCATTTTCATACACTTGACCTGCTGCTCTTTTCACCCACACCATGACCCTCGAAAGGAAGTGCTGAAGTACTGTGCATCCTAAAGATAAGCTCTTCAAGAAAGTGCAGCTACACACGCCAGTGGGAGGAAGGGCAGGAGGAAGGAGGGTCCTGCCTCACAGCAAAGGAAACACCCTGGGGTAGGACAAGGCAGGAAATAACTGCTTCAGGCATTTCCTCTTGCGTGCTTGCAGATGAGCAGAACCTGCAGTGATGTTAAATCATCATCTTTATTCTTTTAGAAACACTCTGTACTGAGAAAAATGGCCATTACTGGGTCAGCCTGAAGGTCCCTCTAGCTCCATCTGTAGCAGCAGCCAAACAGAAGATATTTAGGAAGCAGGAAGTGAACAGGGCAATGTAAGTGCCCAAAACACCCTTCCAACTTCCAAGTATCTCCCAGTTTTAACAGTCTTTGATGATGAGCAAGTTCAGGGACACCCAGAGCCCGAGGTATGCTACATCCATTAGCCCTACCAATTACACTCTTCATGATTATGTCAATGACAACAGAAGGTTTGACTCTGCAGCCTTCCTGAGGGTGGAGGGAAGACAAGGTGAAAAATATTACCTTCCCCAGTGTATTTTCAGAACTACATCTGCCAATAAATTTGCATGACTCTGCAAACTAATCAAAAAACAACTTCTAGAATATTCTAACCAACATGCACACACATTCAGCTCAAGAGTTGCACCATGTAACAGGAACTACTAGAAGTGGAAATCAGTGTTTATTTTTAAAAGATAGACCAAACATCTATCATTCTCTGCTACTCTAATCTTAAAGCTCAGAAAAAGCACATGTGCTTAACAGCTTGGCTGAGCCTACAGTGCTAGGGTTTCCAAGTTCCTAATTGTGCTATGAATCCTCTGTACTTCACCCTTAATTTTTCCATATGCTTTCCAAAGTTACAAAACGGTGGCAATACTCCCAGCCTGGCACAGTTTGGGTTTGTTGTGACTGACAGGGTTGACAGATGTACTTTGGGTAACACAGGCATCATATAATCTGACCTATTTCTACTGTCTTTGTTTTGTCGCAAAAATTTTAATTTTTTGATATCTAAATTAATCATGTAAATATGGATTTTTTTAAAACATCATTGTAATCCATATTTATTCTCTTTCTGAAGAGGTACTATATATGCAGCACAGCATCTTGTCAAGACCAACCAGAATTTTAATCCCTCTCACTCAGAAGAACAAATCAATGAAGCAAAACCATACAAGGAAGATCAAAATCATTTCACCACGATTACAAGTAAATAGAAACTAGTACTGCTTCATACACTGCTGCCTGAAACAGAATTTGCTTTCAGCTTATAAGTTAAAAACAAGGAATTGAAATACATTCTCAAGCATAAGTTTAAAATGTGGCAGAAGACAGGGAATAAAATGAGATCATCTGAGCTGAAGATAAATTACATCTCTGTGCTGATAAGGGATTTCAATTTGTAATGAACTAATTTTCAACACTTCCCAGGTAATGTATATGGAAGGCTGGGGATACCAAGGACAAAAAAAAGCTGCTGTAGTCTACAAGTAATTTGACCGTTGATGCCATTTTCTAATCTTATTTTCTGTCCTTATATAAAACACTTCAAGAGGAAAAATAAGAGAAAGTCCTGGAGAACAGAACACTATTCTGTTCACAGACAGTCACAACTACTCAGTATTTCCTAACCCCAGCTCTCTAAAGTCATTTCAGGCTAAGCACACAAAACACCAAAGAACACCAGTCTCGAGATAGAGGTGATGGTGAGAAAAAGATCAGAAATTTTAGGAAACGTGAAAAGATTCAGATTGATGATAATACATTTAGCAAGTTGCTTGTATCTCTGATAAGCATGACATATAAACAGAATATATATGTAAATAATCTTAACTATAAAGAAGGACAGAGAACCTCAGAAAAGTTATGGAGTTCAAGTTGAACTTCTTTTTCATTATACAACCCAAAGTAACATTTGCCCGTGTCACAAATTTTGCACATAACACTAGACCAGCAGAATAATGATGTTTTTCACTTTTTGATAAGTACCAGCAAAGTGCTAAACCATACAAACATAACGACTACATTATGACCCTGCAAGGCAACACAGGCCAATTGGAGGTCATAAGACTAAGTTCTTGGCAGTTCTACTTTTGATTCCTATTCAGAAAGATTAAAGAATAAAATTCAACTTTAGCAATGCTCTTTTTATAAATTAAAACTGTACACAGTAAACAACAGAATACACATTCTTCCTTACCTGCATGTCTAAAATCAGTCCAGCTATCTGATTTTGCTGATTGTCTATGACCTACAATATAAAATTCAGCAGTTTAGAAGGCTTGAATCTCTTTAGATCCTTTTCTAAAAATCAGCTTACAGGTGTGTACCCAGAGATTTTAAATAGAATCTTTGAAAATGTAAATGACAAGAGAAAGTTCAATTCTGAAAGAACATGAAATTCATGCAAAATAAATGTACTGAACAGAAACAGACAGGTACTGAAAAGTAATCTGAATTAGCAAGAAATGTGTAATTCTTTAATGAGATATTTATTTCTCATGTAGGAAAAATAAAAGAAATGCAGTACTTAAGGTTAAAGATGCCATGAGCAGATAATTTGCAGACTAACCTTACTGGCTTTCTCATTCTTCTCTTTAAGACATTCATTCTCACTCTGAAGCTGTTTCGTGTCCAACATAGGAAGTCGAATACCATCTTCCAGGCATTTTTCTACTTTCTGTTGTAAACTGTCATTCAACAAAAAAGAAACAATAAGAGGACTGATTGAAACCAGAGGGCTGTGTGTTCTAGCAAAAACCAGAAACTTGCACCATCTTCCAACCAGACCCATAAAACTGTTCCTATCAGAATCCAGCCTTATGAATGAGCAAACCAAGAGCGGATGAATGACGCAAAAAACCCTGAATACCGAAGTTGCCATGTCAGTGGCAAGGACAGATTCATGCAGCAGAATGCAGGTTTTATGGGCCAGATTGTGTGCTGTGTCTCCCAAAAGGTACAGCTCCAGCAGTACTGTGTAGGGAGAGAGGGCAGAGAGAAGCAAAGAAAAGCTTTGTGGTGCTCAGTTGCTCTGTGCTACTGTGGGAGGCAAAGCCTGCTCCAGCACAGATCAGAGGAATTTTCAAACCTCTCAAAAGCTTCAGGAACTTTAAAATCAGATTCTCTCTGTGTGGCACATACAAGTCAAAGTGGAGTCCAGAATCAGAGGTGGTGCCCAGTACTGGTGGCCTGTCCTTCATGCTCCCTGTGACTCATAAGGGAGAGTACAAAGCCACTCCTGCCACATGAGACCCTCTGTAGCTCAGCCCAAGCCTCTAGGTGTAGCTACAGCCTTTGTCTGCTCACCTTCTCTCAGAAGGGAAATGCATTTTTTATTAGTGTTAATCTTGCTGTCTAAGAGGCCACCCCAACTATTTGTAGGCTTTCAGAAAAGACAGAATGATCCCCCTCTAGATTATGAGCACGAAGGAAAAAGGCCTTTCATTGGTAAGATGGAAACAATGTGTCAACAATTTGGCTGGCAGGGTGACCCAGCCAGCTTGCCTTTCATCATGGAAACCTTTCAGACTCCTGTGGCATGCACCTTCACCCAAGGGAGGGACAGTGAACTGCAGGAAGGTAAACTATTAAAAGGGATTCTCCCCTGCTTCACTCTTCCTTTTTTTTTTTTTCAAAGTTAAGTGTTTAAGTAGCTCCTCTGATCTAAAATGTAACACAGTAACAAAGTCTCCATGTCTTACCAGTAATATTCTTCGATATCTGCCCCATTTGTTTTTCATTTTTATGCAAGTTCAGTGACAACAAATTACCTTCAGCTAAATCTCCCTACACCCTTAGGGAAAAGGAAGAACAATTTCTGGAAAGCTTTGACCCCTCCCTGACATACCCATCAGCCAATATCCAGGGAGTTTTTCCACAGCTCATAACAGGATCAGTTATCTAACAGCCGTGCTGACAGCTTCTGTACAACGCCCCTTTGCTGCACAAATTTATTCCATCTTCTATATGCCAGCAGGCTATGATGCCATTGCAGTAGTGTCCCACATCCTTAAAGAAAAATAGTGAAGAGTGTCCTAGGCAGACTCTTCTCTGTGGTATTAATTGCAACTTGCCACAAATAAAACTCTTGCCATAAAAAGTCATTAGCATTGTAATAGATTAAGATGACGAATAACATTAGGTCTTGACATCGAGTGGGAAAGCACACCCATTTCAGGGCACAGGTGGAGCAGCTGTTCATACCTCTGCACTGTTGTGACCAGCTCTTTTTCTTTTTTCTTCTGAGATGCCAGCTGTAATTCTCTCTCTCTGCACTGCGACCGGGCCTCGCCGAGCTTCTTTTCTAACTCAGTCATAGTTTCTTGAAGTTGCCTGTTCTTCTCTTCTAGAATGTGCAGCTAACACAGGTTACGTTAGTCAGACATGATGCCACATCAGCAGAAGGCCTTGCAGCAGGTCACAGCCTTGCTGGCACCTGCTGCAGAATCTCAGGCCCATTTTGCTTGTCTGACTATGAGAAATCCTAATACCTACAGAGACTTCTAAAACATTGAAATGCTTCTCTTCCTAAACAGATAGTGGAAAAAACTGTACATTGAAACAGTAAAAGACTTGCCAACAGATATTAGGCAGCTTACTTATATTTTCAAAAGGTAAACCAAACTCCCTTCACCTTACCTGTTTAGTCTGCCCTTCTATATCATCCAGTGTTGGTAGGTCAGCCAGGTATTTTTCTAAGGTTTCAATTCGTCTTTGTTTTTCTTTGTTTTGCTCAGACTCCTTCTGGCATTTCTTTTTCAGGCTATTAATATATCGATCTCTAGTTTTAAGCTAGAAGAAAGAAAAGAGTACATGTTTTATGATTATGGTAAAAAATAAACCTGCTTTGGAAGCAGAGGCTGGTCACTCTCCAAAAATTGTACTCTCAGCTGCATGAAACATTTGGCTACTGCAGAAAACAAAACCAAAAATGATTAATCCCAGCAGCTCCAAGTAATAGACTCACACGTGACCTCACTCAACCCCCTGTTGCTTCACCTCTGCCCAAAACAATCCATGTGCCTTATCAACTGAAAACACAAACAGTTAAAATACTATTAACTTTTTTGCCAATGGAGATGTTCATATGCAACAAATGATTAGGACATATTTTAGTCCATGCTCTTTCTCTGGACTAGGAAAACAACTCCAAATACAAGGACCAAAAACTTTAACTAAGAAGAATTGAAGCCAAAACCCTGACTTCGATGCTGTCTGACAATGAGATCAGGGAACATGAAAATGGAATAGATGCTTTCTTAAATACCTTTTCTAGAGGCATCTCCATTGTCCATCAGCCTGGAGAAATTTTTTTTTTTATATTGTGTTACCTTAGTTCACATTCCTGGTACTTACTTTGCTTTATTACCTAAGTCAAAAAAGTGGGAAAAAAAGGCAGGAAGAAAGAGTATTTTCCACTGTGCCCCCCTGCCCTCTTTCCTTGAGAGCTTTTTATTCAATGCACAAAATGGACATTTGCTAAGGGGTGAATCAGGACTGTGCAGTGAATCAGGGTCCAACCTACAGACCATCCTGCTGACAAAAGCTCTGCTGCACAGGCCCTCACCACTGCCACCACACCAGTTCCTTCACAGCGAGGAACCCAAGCAGTAAAAGCTCAGAAAGGAAGAAGCTGCAGTATGCAATTTCTGCCCTTCCTGAATGTTACTCTTTGTGAAAGCACACTGCAGGGCTCATAGGAAATGGTAAAGCAGAATTTGAGATTAATTATGCATTCTCCTTTGTCTTTCCACTTGATACTTCACTGTATCATATTGCTTCTCTTCCTTGAATTTGCATTAATAGAAATCTAAACCCAGTAACTAAAGAAGAGAAGGTAACAGTGACAATGTGTCTCTAAAACATTAATTACTAACCCCTTCGTCAATGGTACATTCCTGCTTGCAATAAAGGAAGGCTGTCAGTACATTCAAAACTACATCTGGGAATTGCTTCAGCCTGCAAAGAAACTCCTTGTCAAAACAGTTCCAAGAACACAGCCATCCTTGTCTCAGACTACAGTCTATTCTGAACATCCTAGGAAAGCCACAAGCAAATCACTCTTGCAGAGTAGGCACATATAGGCTGGTAAGTGTATCTCAAAGCATGAGGGCCACATTTACAAACCATGCTAAAAATAAGGATTTAATTTTCACACTCTATGTTTTTAAATGTTATTTTGTTTACTGTAATAAATACTTCAAGCTACAAGAATTCTTAGAGCTGAGTAGCATTTTTTCAAAGTTTAACTGATACCTTGTTAAAACTGTCATCATGATTACTGTTTTATCTAGTACCACTTTTTAGGATGCACTCTCTATGAGATCAGATTCATCCATTAGCAACACCTAAAATCATTAACTTTCAATTTTTCTATCACAGATAATTTAGCTATGTTTTGAAAACAGCTCAGACACCCACATAATAAGTTGCTTTCTAGTAAACAAAACATATGCTGCTGAAACAGTGGCAAAAGGAAATATGGAACATGAAAGACACTTACTTTCTCCTCCATCTTCTTTTTCTCCTCACTAGATTTGTTTGAAAGTTGTTTTACAATTTCACTGAGTTGTAATTCCTTATTCTCAGCTGCTGCAATCTTTCGCTCAAGCTCCTCAAGGTGGGAGGCTGATCTTTCTGAAATGTGAGGTTGCAGCAGTGTGCTCTCATACTGTGGTTGCTTACAAAAAGAAATAAAAAAATCATACAAATGAACGCGCACATACCACTCTACATTTGAAAAGCACAGCAGAAAACACTCCTGCTTTTTTTTTTTTTTGGTTTCAGGAAGGGTGGGGTTTGATTTTTCAAACATTAAAATACATGGCAACAGCATGTACTTCAGGAATCTGGAACAGAAAAACAAAGAAGCTGGACACCATTCACAACATATGCACAAGAACATTGCAGGGGTGCTTTGCCCCTCAGATTTATGGAAGAGGTGTGATGTTTCTCCCAAAATAAATCCCTACAAATCCAAATAAAAAGCATTTTCAAAACAAATCACTGCCACTGAATTATCATACCATCTCCTGGGAAGAAAACCACTATAAAATGGCTATGAATATAGTGAAGTAAGAGATGCTTTAATCCAAAGACACTTCTAAAGCAGAACATCAGTACTAGCAAACCTTAGAGCTATCACGCCTGCGGTGTGAATGGTGCAGAGACAAGCCTGAGAATAAAGCTATAATCAGAATTCAGGCTTCCTGTCTTCTGTTCTGTATACCAAAACTTCAACCCCCACGGTCCAGAGACAGACAAGCACAAAATGGAAGTCAGCTGCATGTGGGATGAAAAAGGAGATGCGTCCCATTAGGCTCTCAATTTCAAGATTCTTTTAATAACACAAATTGGTATCTTTAAAACTACTGTCTGTATAATTTCTTTAACTAGTGACATCCTTCAGCAAAGCATTAGGAGATTCAAACCTTCACTAAAGTAGATTTGTTTTTATAAGTTCATCAAGCAGGAACCAAAATACATTATAAACTTTCAAAATTCTTTAAATTATGAAAAATTAATGCATCTGCTACTTTATTTGAAGTGCAATATCGTGTACTAAGATATGTACACTAAAATTGCAGTTTCTGCACTACTGCTTCTTATTTGGTTGGTTTTGTTTGTCTCTCTCTGCCTCCCTCCCCCCCAAACAAATCTTAATCTAGACAGATTCTAAAATATTTTGTTAAAGAAGATCTGGAAGCACCAAAAGCAACATTCCTATATGTCTGAAAAAGTTTCTGGATACCTAACTTCACACCAAGGCTCCACTTGCATTTCTCTGCTGTGTCACACAACCCACATTCTCACATGATGTAGAGCTGTGTTATTCCAAGGACATAATTAATGTCATGTTGAAGTACACTAGCTGAGATCCTAGTGCAGTGTTTGTGACAGAAAAAGGTAACATCATAAAAGAGGGACATGAAAGCTATTTCTCTGCATATCTTCCTTTAACACTCTCTTGCTGCATTGCCTTTTAGATATGCCAAGGCCTGAAGATTTTGTGTGCTGTAAGCAGCCACAATCCTCAAACTGCATTTCCTGGTTTACCTATGCTGTCTCATCCTTACGCTATCTTGATAATGGTGCCAGTTAGATGAAAGTTAGGACAATTATAGCCAAAATATCACCACACATTCCCTTTCAGACTAAGTGTTCCCTAGGAGTACTAATCCATATCCTTTTCAGGTGTTTTGTCAAAAGGTATCCCACCAGTCTGTTTGCCTTCTCACATCTCTTCCATCTATTCTAGTGATACAATCTAACCATCCAAAGGGTTACCTCCTCCTCCTCTTCAGAAAACCTTCCAATAGTCGTTTTCAGATACTCTCCTATCATCTACTTTATCTCCTAATATCTACCTGTAGGACTATGATACATGCACTCTGTTAAACCCTTACTCTTACAGTGTCCTAATCCCTCATTCCCATCTCATTTTTATCAGACTTCAAAACAAGTATGTACAAAATTTTAACAATATTTATATTTCTGCAAATATAAGATAAACTACAAGCTTAAGGTGGTATTCTTTACACAATTCTCTGCTATGCAATTACACAGCCATCAATAATCACAAAGGCTCTACATTTTAGCCTGCAGTAAATTGTGAGCATGTGTTGAGGTGCCAGTTACTGGGCAACGGAAAGCTTTGATGAAAGAAAAATATTCATCCTACCTGTAAATTAGTCACGTAAGGTTCTTCGCAGTTCACAAGATGGCTCAGTCTTGCGTGTTGAGCTCGTAATTCATTCTCCCTTATCTTCTGATGTAAATTGTTAATTTGCTGATTTTGCCTGTAATACACAAATCTTACTTCAAAAGGACTGAATGGAGATTAAAAAAAAATTGATCTTAATACCTGTACTGAAGAATACACTAACAGTGTTATTCAGCTATCCTGGATCTGTGTTAGCTGTGGGTTTTTTCCCACTGCAGTCAGACTGCAATTAGACTAATTTAGCACTAGAACTGGAACCTCATCAGAGTATGAACACTAAAACTACAGTTACCATGTGACTTGTGACTTTCACTTAAGCAAACCCGAAGGGTCTGTGCTCAGTTCATAATAATAAGCAAATCCTGTAGAAATGCAACTTGAAAATTCTATCAATTCTGTGGGGGTCGAGGGAGGCTTCTGTTGTCATCTGATGCTAGGGCCAGAAGTATAAGCAGGGGAAAGTACACAGAAAACAGAATGAAAACAAACAAAACTCAAACTTTCATTTTACTTGGACTTCTGTTCAGCCTCTCTCTTTGCCAGAGCTGATTTTCCAACCAGTAAAAAGATTTACAAATCAAGGGGAGCAGAAAGGACTTATGAAGAAAAGGTTATTATATAAGATAGTCAGCACAGCTTTCCTGTAAGGTCTTTCTTTTTGCTTTGCTTAAGACTTTCTCAGTCAATTGCTTTATGCAAGATGTACCCTACCCTAGGGTAAAATATTTGTGTAAAATAATAGTGCTTGTGTACTAAAAGAGAATTAAACTCTTACACCAATTGCTTGGTCAGTGTACAGCAAAAACAGTATTACTATTTAATTATATCACAAATGATATCACTGCTTAAATCATGACTGCATTTGAACTAGCATGACTGCAGGGCAAATACAAGCCAGGTCTCCACCCTAGCCCAAGTCCCAGCCCTGTGAGGTGTACAGTGCTCTCCATGGAGCAACGGGCACCTCAACAGCTGACTCCAGAATGGAGCTGTCAGCAGCCATCAGAAACACACAGAGCAACCTCCTCAGTAAACTTAAAACCAACTTAAAACCAACTTTGTGCACTCTATTCATTTTCATTTTTCCTTCTTTTTTATCTGAGGATATATTTGCATGCAAGCATGCAATTGTTTTGCAAAGCTTCATCTCTAAGCAAGCAGTAGGACTGGCTTTTCTGTAAACCATGATGCTGAACCCAGATGTCTAAACCCAATTTTAAAAAAGAGATAAAAAGCAAATGCAAATTAACTTCAAGGGAGAAGACCTGCCTGCACACATACTGGAAAAGCAAATCCTGCAAAGCATAGAAAAAAGATCAAAGCCTGTGGTTTTTTTTTAAAATTGGGGAGGGTTGCATTTATGAAGAGCATCTCGGAAATATTATTATGAGTATACAAAACATGTATTATACAATTTATAAACAAACGTGAAATATGTATTAGTTGAAAAGATGCCAACTGCAAATTTTAATAGGGAAAATAAGATGCAAAAGGCCCAATTAAAGGGACTATTTTAGCTACTCATATTCTTCTAGCTAGTTATCAGTCAACTGTATTCCAATTATTTGGTTTATAAGAGGAATTTCATATTTGAAAAATATTGAATATATTAAAGTTAGCCTTTCCTCACCTAGATGTGTTATAGAAGACATGATGCATGCCTACAGAACACCTTTTTTTAATTTTTCCCTATTTTTATATCTACAAAGAACAGCAATGAATGGAAAAACAGTATATATAAGCTGCCATTTGGAAGTATCTTAGAAGTATTCATTCAATGTGATTCATAAGAAGGAAGAAACTGAATGTATTTATGTGACTCCATAGCAAGCCTTAAAACACTTTCTATCAGCACAGGTCATTTTGAGGCTTACTTTTGCCATTCCACTATTTAGACAGAACAAGCTTGTACAAATATAAACAGAGTATGCAACACTGAAAAACTTCGTACAGTTCTGGTTGGTATCTGTAACATGGCACTACAAACAAAAAGCTTCCAACTTATTTTGGAAGAAGCAGATTCAAAGATTAGGTAAAAGAATATGCTCTCAACTTGTAACAGACCTTTTATAAGCCCAAGAGTTATTATACTCATATGAGAAAATATAAAGCCTTGACAACTTTTGTGCATGCCTGGTTACAGAGACCAAAATTACTTAGTATGAGTTATCCTAACCTATGAACTGAAGCAAATTTTAATTTTTTATCACCTTATTACTTACTAGACAGATGTATTAAAATTTCTTTGCTCCATGTGCTTTAAAATTATTTACCCATTTGTCACCTCTTGAAAGCATTATGTGATTTTCTGTTGACAGCTGACTGTAACTTAGCAGTGCCTTCTTTACCAGGCAGGATTTCAGTAGCCTAAACTAAATGCTACAGCCTAGAGTAAATGTTTCAAGATATTTTTGAACTTCCAGGGTAGTTTGGACTACATTACCATATTTCCTTTCATAATCCTTCTCCTACCCTACCAAATCCCTGCAGGAAAAAAGGTGAGACAAATTAATCCGTGATGAGACAGAGCACAGAATTTAACTAGCTTGCTTCTTTTCACTCTGCAAAGCATGAAACTCTCCACCGTTATAAAATCTTGCCAACAAAACACACCATAGAAATGTTTCAAGGCCGTGTAAATCCTGCTCAACTTCTCTGCATAACTACCTCTGTGAAAACAACATTAACCTCATGGCACTCAGAAACAAAAATTCTGAAAGCAGCAGTCACAAGGAGAAGATAAACACCACACAAACATATTTACTATTTACATACAATCCTTCAAGTCTTTGGAGACTTCATACCAAATGCATTTTGTCACTGATACTCTCATATGCCAAGACAGTTTTAATACTCTGTTAGCCCATCCCTGTTACTGTTATTCTGCTGCATAACCCTTTATTTAAAGGGAGCATAGAAAGTTCAAATGCTCTCAAAAACACAGCTCGCCTATTACAGCGGGAACGCTGTCCCCAGAAGCTCCTTATTACCAGTCAATCATCCCACCACTTTAAAAAACCCAAACCAAACACAATCAGCCTTTAGCATCTAGAGGCCATCAAGTTTCTGTCAAGCTCCTCAACCTCCTTCCCCTCCATGGCACACCACAGGTACTGCCTGGCCCAGTTGCCACAGCTGGAACAGGGACCTCCACTGTGGCCCACACTGGCACTGCTGTGCAACCAAGAGAGTTGGTGCTCTTCCTCTGCTCATCAGTGAAGGGAGAAAGGCAGGACAAGTACTGGCTTCAGCATCACCTCACTAGGACATTTGTATTTCAAGTCAGGCTCAGAAAACAGCAGGGAAATGCCCCCAAAAGGCTTTCAATTATGGGTCTGCTAAATTTGCAGTCTGTCTGCCTGTGGACAGCAAGGGGCTGTTTCTGGTGGGGCACATGCCCTGTGCCACTACTCTCTGCAGACAAGCACATCGAAGACAACATGCTACGCCCCATGAAATGGCAGCCAAGCTCCCCCCATCCTGTGACTCTACTTACAAAGCTGTCTAGAATTCAGAGGAAAATTACTGGTGCTACTTGACACTAACTGAATCCATTTAAAGGAGCAAACCCAAAGTTAGAGCTGTAAGAGTGATGTATTGATGGGAAGAGGGGAAGATTTCTATTTTGATTCAAGTGCAGCTCTGCCCTTTAGCTCAAACAATCCCCTTTGAAAACTCAAGTCAGCACAAAGGACACGGGATCCCAGACAACAGAGTAAAGCTCAATGTGCACAAGCCTGGACTGTCTCCAGAGACCAGCATTAATAAACTGCTTAATATACAAATTGCTTCTCCTTAAGTCTCAAAAATATTAGTACAACATAACTGACATTCACATCATTTTCTCACATTCACAACAGGACAAGCATGGACACATGCTTATACAGACACTCATACATGCATTTATCTAGAAACAAATCACATTTTCTTGAACGTGGGACCAATTCATCTGTTCTCCATAAGCCCATTTTACCCCATACTTTAATACCAAAGAGCCTTTAGAAACATTTGCCAGAGTAGCACTTTCTCCCCTCAACTTTTAAGTTTTTCTTAATTTTAATTCTTTAATTAGCGTAAATCTAAATCCCACACTTCAAGTCAAGATACAGATCCAGTATCTTCAAACACCTCAGGGACTTTAGAACAGAGCTTCCTCCACCACAGAAGGGACACTAGTAACTTCATAAGAAATCAAATTACAATTAATGCTTACCTTCAAAAGTCACGAGGTTATGAGAATTTGCTGCTTTAGGTGAAAATGTGTGGGCAGATTTCTTCAGAATTGAGATGCAAAGTAGAATACAATACAGATCCCTCTCTATTACAGATACAATTTATTCCACACTGCAGCTGGAGGTATGCTGCTTTGTTTTGTTGCTTAAGAAGTTAGATACAAATTTTTATATCCCTTTGTTTTAGAGGCACAATCTCTTGGGACCACAAGTCCAAACGTGCAGAACACTGATAGGGAAAGAGATCCTTTGTAAACAAAGTCCTAAAAACAATGTGAATACATTTTCCGGAATTTGGAAGATAATGCCAAAGAACTCCAACATCAGCAAAGCTAATGAGAAAAGATACTCTCAAATTTCCTATGCAATAAAGTCTGCTTTTTTGGTGAAGTTAGGAGACTGCAGTTCTAAGTGAACCTTTCCACCAGTCACAGCAGAACTCACCTTGAAGAGAAGATGGGAACACTACTTTTGGGAGTCAAGACATGATCAAGTGGATGTGCTAATGTTGCAGATCTTAAGAAGCCATCCAAACTAAAAGAATTACAGCTTTACACTAGCATTAAAACAAGCATTACCAGAGCACATACAGTTTGATGTCAATTACTGAGGTCAGGACAATTTGATATTTGGCAAAGAATATTTAATACTCTTGTCCCAGTGAAAACATCTAATCCTAATTCTGCTATGGATTAGAAGTTAATGATTTAGCAACTGTTTTAAGAATGTAAATGCTGTTTTGCCCTGAGGAATAACAGCTATTCACTAAAACTGTACTTCTCTATCTACCTTTCCTTAAAAAAATGTTCAAATGCCCTTATGCTGACTAGAAGAGAACATTGCATGCACAATGGTATTCTCAGCATCTTATGTCATATGTTCAGATATTTAGCATTTATTCATGTACCCCCTATTTGCAGCCCCTGCCACATAAACACTGCCAGGATCACACTGGAGACATCGACAGCGGCAGTGCAGTCTCAAGAGACATTCGCCATTGTACCAAACACTGTAATTTCAGTGTTGTTATGTACTGAACAAAGGAGCAACGTAAAGAATTAAAATGTGATGGTGTAATTTTCTAAACCAATACAAACAATGTTGGCTCCCTCTGGAGCTAAACATAATGTAGTGTTACATCCTAACCCGCCAGAGAAGTAAGGCAATGATATAATCCAATTATTTTCGTATACTAGGTGACAGACATTCTACTAAAGTGTTACAGCAGCATATTTCCTCTTACAGACAAATCCTTAAGTCCTCATTCAAGGCCTGTACCAACAATTTTTATGTGGAGAAAACATGACACACATCTTTAAGAAGTGCCACTGAGATCCCATGGACACGTGCACGCAGAGCAGGCTCACTTCCTTATGCCACGTTTTCGCTTCCTAAAAGTACCATCTTCTCCTCATTTTTTTCAGAGCAGACTTAAAAGTCATTTCAGGTTTTTATTAATTAAATTAGAAGTGACTTTTAGAGTAGTTTTAAAAAGCAAACCAAAATTACTTTTAAACCCACTCCTTTATGCTACTGTGTACTACTTAAATAAACGCCTTTGTTATGGTGAAAAGACTACACAAATAAAATCAATTTTAATTTACCTACTACTACATCTGCTGTTCAACACTGTACAGAACAAAAATTGAGCCATTTATTCTATTCACAGGTGCAAGGGGCTGTTTGGGTTTTAAAACTCTACTTACAGCCTGAATTTCCATTGACACGCCAAAGTATACAAATATGATGATTTACATGTAAGCATTATTCCCTGAATTGTTTTTATAGTTATTTGAAACTTACTTGCAACTATTCCTAATTGTTAGATTTCCAATGCCAAACAAGGAAGTTTAATAATCTAATCTGGAAGGGTCAGATTTTTTTTGCCTTTTTATCTTTGTGAGGAAAGAAGAGAAGCAGGCAGCATGTTTCACCTTCCTTCTCCTGCCCTTCCTCCCTTTTTTAACAAGATAAAGGTAGAACAGCTTAAGGATACTACCCTGTACAGAGCATCCACTCCCTACTAATCAACAGATTCAAGCACCAAAGTGTGTGATGTTAATCTCCTCCATCTCCTACATAAGTAGGACACCAGTACAATTCCCAGCAAGAGTGTTTAACCTTAAAAAAATGGCTAATGTCCCTGTGGGTGAAAGGGAGGCTGGTGACAAGTGCTGGAGAATGGTGTTCCCAGTGTGCATCTTTTTATCCAGCTGCTCCTTGTACCTGCCAGCAGCAAACAGCTTGTTCTGGAGCACTATGCCAGCTGCTGTCCCACTGCATAACCCATCTCTCCTGAGCTTCTGTTCCCCCAGAATTAAACAAGTCTCGCTGGCATCTCCCAGCTACCAGTTTGTAAATTCAGCATGAGACATGACTTAAGGACATAACACCTTCTAAAACTCCATCAGAACCACAGGTACAAAGGGCCTTCTCAACAAACACCTACTACCTAACCCCAATCAACAAACTAACTCCTCCTCCATTTCCTCAAAGCATAAATTCTGTAATTTAACTACTACCATCTTGAATTGACCACACTTTAGAAAACTTTATATTTTTATTTTAGGTCACTATTCCCAAACAAATTCAAAGTCTGAAAAGAAGTTTAAAGTAAGATCAGGAAGACTAGGAGTTGGAAGATTTAGGTTTACTCCCAGATATCATCTTGAATCTCAGTGCAAGGCTTTGTGTGTCCACAAGGTAAATTTTCACTTAGTGCCTTGAAGAAAGGATTCACACTTAAGTCTTATTAATAATTGATCTGATAAGAAATATAACACTAGTACTTTTTAATGGAGTTCTATTTCAAGATTTTTGCACAGCAGTTTCATGAGTGAAACCAAAAGTATTTTTTATTTGTCATAGAAGACACAACCTCTTCTTAACAAAAAAAATTTAAGAATCTATTGTAAAACTTTGTAAATATGCAACATCAATTAATACTAATCTTAAATACTACAAACCATCTGTTTTAAATGTTTTTATTTAATTTTAAAATAGCTTTTAAGGTATTTTGTCCAAATGGAGGCTCAATATTCAAAAAAGAACCTGTTCTGTGATGTATTGTTATACTGCATTATTATAAAGTACAACATGTTTAACTCTTACACCAAGTGTCTACTTAAATGAAACACTGTAACATCACTAAGTGGCCTTTGTTTCACTTCAATAGCTTCCAGAGTATATTTTGCCATTTCAGCTGAATGAAAAGAAATTATCTAAACTGACTTCTGGTCAGAAATCTAGAAAGAACTGTATTCACCATCATTAAGACACTCAAAAATAATGACTCATACAAAAAAAAAAGAACAAAACACTGCCACTGGATGTCAAGAAACAGCTTTTCTTCCTCAACATGACTGGTATCAAGTAATGTTAGCAGGAAATCAGGTTACAAACTGTCACTTCAGAAACTTCACCCTTGACTGCAAACACACTTCCAGCGTAACAAGAGCAACACGAACTGCATTTTTAGTTGCCACTGTGGAACAAGCCTTCACGTAGAGTGCAGAGGAACATAAGCTCAGCAGAGGCACCAAAGACTGCCCCCAGACATCAAGGGCCATGTACTCACAAAGGCTGCTGACAGCCTGGGCCCCAGAAGGAAGGCTGCAGGTTTGTTGCTATTGATACAGCAAGCCTGAAAAAACCACTGTAATACAGACAGCAGATCTAGGCAGCAGATCAAAAGGCTCTGACAGAGGAGATGTAAACAACAGCTAAGGATGTTTCCATTTTAACTTCTTACCCCCTTGGGAGATGACCACCCCCGCAGGAGAGCTGGCAGTGTGCCCACTGTGTACCACCAGAGCAGGTAAACACACACTAACATCCTACATCCCACTGGGGAAGAGGATCCCAACCTTCAACAGTGCAATGCCAGCAGAGTTACTGGTCAGACTACTAAGGGACAGAAACACCTTATACCACTGCAATTCCTCGCTCTGTTGCAATAATGGAACGAACAGATCTTGTACAAGTGTAATTCTCCTGGTCCCAAAGTAAGTTATGCCCAAGTTGCCTATCTCTACCCATAAAAAGATAGAAATTACTAAATGAAATACAAAACTATTCATAATGGATGCCTAACATTAGTGTGATCACCTGCTTTACACAGTTCTCATGTTGTGGAGCAAACTATCAATAACAAGAGCACAACTATATCAAGATCAGAACAATCACTCTTCTTTCAGCCATGAGCCAAGAGTTTATTATTGAAACACAGACCATGCCACATTACCATTATGTCAAATATAAAAATATCCTCCTTAAATGTCCTACATCCAAACTCTGCAGTGCCTGGTGATATCTATTTTAGTGTAGTCTTCATTAAGCTCAGGCTCTTATTAAAAGCATATTTTCCTCATTAAGAGGCCCATTCGGATTGACAGCAATTTTAGTAAGAAGCTACATATTTACTCCTGGATTTTATATTTTATTATTTGAACAATTTGTATCAGTGTCCGAATAGGATTTTACTGCTGAACATTACTGCTAAGGCCAGTTTCCCAAAGCTTTATGAACTGCATTCAAATATAATGCCTTTCTGTACTTGTCATGGAAAAGAAAATCAGCACCATGCAGCTGACCAGTTTTCATCTTGCAAGTCACTTGCAAGATCTGTACAAGCAGAAAAATGTCTGACACAAACTCCCCGACCAGGAAGAAGCTAAGAGGGGAAGCTGACAGCAGAACTGACTGTTGGTATCACTTTCCCTTTTCCACTCCAGAGGCATTAAACCCCCTAAATACATTTCCAACTTTGTAAAAGACTTTTAGCCAGCTGCCAGTCTTCTCTCCTAGCAAGGATTAGCTCCCACGTATTCGCACATAAATAGTGGTTGGATTGAAGCCTAACAACTGTATGAGTAAGCAGCTCCCCTGAAAGTCAGCTTTTACACTGTAGCTTTTACATCATCTCATCTAATGAATGGAGCAGGTGCAGGTTACTCACCGATCAATCACAAACTCTTTCTGTCTTAGCAGCCCCTCTTTAATTTTCATTAGAGATTCCCAGTTGCTGGAGTCCTGATAGCTGCTAGCTGGGTAACTTGGACGAGATGTTCCAGGTGAAACCTGTGTAAAATAATTGTAGGATTAGCCTCCAAAACAGTAAAGGTAAATAATGTCCTAGGTATTAGGGTGTTTACTAAGTGGTTTGTTCTTTCAGAAACCTAAGAATTGTTTTTTAAGTTTAATTCAGATTTGCTTTGTATAAAACAACTGCATTTATAAACAAGTTTCTTGAAACAAACTTCAGTGTCAATGATTTCATCATTTCTCTACTAAAGAATTCATAGCTCTGAAAGCAGTTTGAATGAAAAGCTCATTTAGAATTTAGGTACATCATTAAGACAAACACCACAAAATGCTGCAATTCTTGTAGCACTTCAAACAAGATAGCTTGATGATAACTTTAGACCTGCTGGTAACTGCAGGTAACAGTTACCATTCACCTGTTCAACTCCCATTTGTAACGGCAGAATACAGAGAAACTTCCCTTGATCTCTGTGCATTTAAAATACAGAATATGGGAGTATAATTCTGATATAATATGGGAATATAATTCTCATTAAATTTCCAAGATTAAACAGGTTTCAGGCTTTCTATTCATTTTCACAAAATCCAGGCTCTGTGTCTCACAACGAACTGAGGACAACAACTGAACTGAATATGAACCAACAACATCGCAGTTTGGAAGCAAAGTAAAAAATTAACTGAGATGTTTAATCAAGAAAGCATTTACTACAAATTTATTATAAATATTTGTATCAGGAATTCACATAAGGGAAGGCTTAAGCTAGAGTTTCTGTGATCAGATTGAGGGATCCCAGCATCAGCTGCCATCAGGTATCATCTAATCTCCCATCAGGTTTTTTTTGAATCACTGAAAAAAAACTTCTCTTTTTATTATCTGGGAGGCATCCTGGACTATGTTGTCTTTTATGCTTTTGAAAGAGAGCAGAAGAAAAAAAAAGTGAAAACATGGGTATTTTTTTTAAACTTTAAATAGACTTCAAGATATTTTTACTTGTATTGCTCTACAATTTTCTAAATTTCATTTGAAATTACAACAAACTGTATTAAGACCAAGACACATCATCAACAATTAAAATCAGTTAGACAATTGTCAAGCAGCCCACACTTCTGGTCAAAGTTTTACTGTGAGTTGTAACAATGAAAGCAAATAATTCATTGCTTAAATTCCAATATCATGATGTGCTGAAGTCAGGAACCAACTCCTCACAACTATGGTCTCTTCTGTAAGTCTGAAAGTATTTTTTTCCATTCAGTCTAGTTCAGTTCAAACTCCGGCTTGCCTGTTGAGAAAAAATGGGCAGAAGCACATCTTTCCTCTTTTAATTTATAACTTAAACCCAGATAAGATGACAAGACTTACTATTTCTAAAAATCTTTCCAGACTGTTACACCCCCACTTCACTCCCCGCCCCCAAGTCCAATTTATCTCCTTCAGGGAATATTTCCTTTGCTTAATGAACTGGATAGCTTCAATAGTAAAATGAGATATGAATGATTAAAAAAAACCCCAAAGCCTCAAACTCAACACTTCTACACATTAAATAATGCATGCCAATTTCTGGCCAAAGATGCACGAAGAATGCTGAGTGTGTTCCTTGCCAGACAACATCAAGTATTGTATCTTTACTGAAAAGGACACATTGACTGGATAAATAGTGCTTTTTGAGGAAAAGTAAAACGTGAAATATTAAAATTAGGTTTTATCCTAAAATAGTTCACTGATATGGTTAATATATCCTGTTTCATGCTCACTCATGAGTACATTCCACAAGCAATAAAAAGCACAGCAAACATTCAAAAATTCTCTAAGCTGTTGCCCCTAAAAAAGTGTCTGATACAACTAGGTTTGAAAGTTTAGGGGCAATAAAATTTATCACATCTGCAATTTCTAGTAAGTCAATCCATTAATCCTATACTTGTTCAAGGAAGTTATGTTCAAAGATGGTACTGCACTCCCCTGGGAGGCAAGGAATGGCAAAGCTAAGTGCTGCTTGGATTAAGATCGACCACTCAACTGTTAATTGATTTAACAGTCATCTTGCTTCATTTTTCGTGCACAGTGATCGATATTAGCATTAAAAAATCCTAAATTGGTGGTATTACTTTAGCTTTTTTGTTTGTTTGGGCAGTGATCTAATAAAACTTAGGAAAGATACCAAGTCATGATTCTTCCTGTGAGTAATACACGTGTCAAGTCCTTAAGGTTTAAGGAATCTAAAATTTATTTTGCCTGGATTGCTCCATCCAGACAAGATAACTTCAAAGTTATCTTTGGGTGCTCACAGAATACCTTGGGATTGTCACATATTGTTCTGTATTACAGTTATACACATGACTGGCTGAATTAAGAGGCACCAGCACAAACCTATTTCAGTGAAAGCCTCTCTTAGTGACACATGTCCTGTCATGCAGTGTAAAGTGACATCAGGAACTATCACTGTATTTTGTGTCATGAAATTTTTTCCTTTGCTTTTCCCACTACAGTGGGATGAATGCTCTTCTATATCCACCTCAACACCATTACACTACAGTCAAAAAAGAAGAAAGAACTAGTCCTTAATGCAGCTGAGATTATATCCTTATTTTTCAGAGCCAGAATTTCCATCTCTACTCAAAAGAAAACCCACAAGGGTTGGACATGATGAACAGGAAATATATGGATTTATAAAGCCAAACCAATTTATTGAGCAGGATGAATTTTGTCTCTAAGACTCAGCTATAAAAATTAAGAGATTAAAGACAACTATTTCAATATGAACCCACCTTAAGTGAAGACATTCTGGAAGTCATCAGTGGTTTCTCTAAGAAAATTCTTCAATGCAAGCCCCTTACTTCAACCTAGCACCTCTACAAACTTAATAGTTTGCAGTAAAATTGGAAAGAAACTCTTCAACTTTGGTACATAAGTGATTATACAAGTCAATTAAATACTATTGTTGTTGAAAAGCAAGGCAATGAGTTTTGCAAAGCTAAGAACAGAGTAGTATTTTGTCAATTAAATGTTCACAATAGTGTATTGGTTTGTTGGTGGTTTTTGTGTTTAGGTTTTGTTTTGTTTTTTTAATCTAATACATAAAGCCTTCTGACGTGATTTACTGAGATGCTTTAAGTTTGGAATATATCTAATCCTGTGGAGTATATACATGCTGTATACACACACGTAACAAATAATTTTTTACTTTTGCATTATAACTGTGTGCTTCAATTTTTCACTCTGAACAAACGAAAACAGCAACAAAAATGTTTGTTTCTGATATCATGGTTCATCCAATTAAAAAAAAAATATACTAAAAATACTTCATAGCACTTCCCAAAATAACAAGACACTTCACTCATTTATGAGCACCTGGTGTTTACTACAAACAGCTTCCTAGCTGCTTTGAATGGTGTGGTAACACACCAGCAGTCCTCTTACGCTTGAGTATCTTGTCTCCTAGGGATATCAAACCAAATAGTGAGAGCAAGATACACTTCTATGGCTCATATTTAGAAAGCATCCACTACTCTGAGTTCTCAACTTGAATCTGCCACAACTACAAAACAAAATACCAGCTGGAAAGACACAACATTCTTTTCTATCTGCCTTACAAAATACATCTATTTTTGCCACCTGGCACCTCTTCCAAGAGTATCAGCCCTGTCCCGAGAACATCTGTTCAGTTAGAACAGATGGCACACTGGCATCCAAAGGTCCTTACTAGCTTGTTTTTTAACAAGGGCTTCAAGTCACTGCTGGGGCAAAGTCAGCTGCTGGGAAAAAATAGAAGAAATCTTTGCTGTACTAGCCTATATGCAAATATTTACCGGTGGAAAGACACTGCTGTTATCAGACACTGTTTCTTATCAGTGGGAAAACAATTTTTCTCTGGACAGAGTGTAACAACATTTAGATAACTTAAGTCAAATATGGCTGGGTTTTTAACTGTGCTAATTAAAATTATCTTCTCCAAACATGTTCATAGTTTCTGCCTGAAGCAGTTTGGTGTCTCAGCACACAGAGTAGCACAGCATCCTGTATGTAACATGCTGTATCATGAAGTAAAGGTGAAGTTCTAAAATGTCAATATAATAGTTAATCTAAAAAAACCCCCAAAACCAGAAAGCTCAATGCATTTGAAAGGTTGTTGTGGTGGTTTTTTTGTGAAAGGTGTAGTTTACATAATTCAGTGCTGTCTATACTACAATTGCAAAATTTCACAGTCCATTACTAACAACTAGCAGAGCACCAAGAGTTAGGCTAAGTGCATGATCCCTTCTGGCCAACTGCTTGCACTGCCTACACTGTCATAAACCTCTCTCTGTAGGGATCATTCTTCTCTCCTTCCACTGCATTTTACAGTTATTACTCAACAGAAAGAGAATTCCTTGCAACCACAGCTAATCCAAGGCATAGGATCAGCACAACCAATGTTAGCAGGAGCACAAATGATTCCTTTTTTTGACTGCTGGGGGAGGAAACAAATATGAGTGTTCCCACAGGCTGTGCCTCAGGGACACAGCACTTGCTCTACCACATCACTGGATGATGAGGGAGAAAGAACAATTGGATGTGGCAACAGCAAGCCCAAATACACTATTATCACAGAGATGCCTCTTGCTTTTCAGTCACCTGTGATAGGAAAAGGATTAGATCTGTAAAGGCAGAGCAGCAGTCACTGATGAACTCTGCTCCCCACCCTGGGTAAGGAAAAAAAGTATTTATCCACCCCTCCTCCCCAGCCAGATTTTTTCCTAACATCAGGCTGTTTCAGCTCACAACAGCTCCCTCAATTCAGAAAATGCTGAAAGATCATTCATCCTTTTGCAGGCAAAACATAACAGGATTAGTAGCTCTTATGCAGGAAAAGTAACAGGAGGCTGCAATTACGGAATAAGGCCCTAATTTTCAGGAATTATTTATACAGAAAGGCTGTGCCTTGGTGAAACACACTAAAAAGAACAGCCACAAAGCAGCAATATAGGATTCCCAGATGGATAAAAACAAGACTACAGACTGATTGAAGAAATCCTAACTTATAGTATCTGTATCTCCCCAT